CAGGATTCCAGGGATATTGAGATACAGAGGAACCATCCACAGTGTGCCAGGGAGGAGGATCCAGATGTGCACACCGAGACGCAGATACCTCAAAGAGAAACCCAAAGTTAATTTTTAGCCTCAGCCTACGTGCACAGATATGGTAGTAGTATTGAAGTACAAACTTAGCTCCTGTCAACAGCTTTGTCAGAGTTAAATTTTTACAAAACCCAACTAGTATCACTTCTTCCTTGGTCACAAAAATTTCCCCCATGAAACTTCCAAGGTAGAGCTACAAACAGGAGCTGATTTTAGTTAGAGTCATTTCAGGAAATTCTCCTTCTTTGTTTCTTCTTCATGCCTTAAATTCCTTTAAGAGGGTTCGCGAAAAGATTTTTATTCCACAAACTGAGAGAAGGCCAACATTGTCAACACCCCTGGGAGAAGGAAGCCAGCAGCTGACGGTCATAGGAACAGCACCCAGACAAATAAATTCTAGGTCTGCCGGCCTCCACCCGGCTCATGACCACAGGCAACGTGTCCTGCCTCTTCGTTCTCATCTCTGAAAGACGGTCTCAAACTGATAAGGCTTCACTTTCTATCCTTGCAGAATTATATTTGCGTCTGAGGATGAAACTTACACAAAAGTGTGCATGGCCAACAAGGACTTTTCAAGGAATCCTTTTAATATAAAGGAGTTTGGGAAGGGGGCAGCTGAGAAGGAGGAGGAAGAACATCTCCCACTTCTTGTTTTTGGATGACTGCGTGGCCTCGGCGACAGGGCCGGCCGGGGAAGGTCAGAGATTCGTTTCCTGCAAGCGGCATTCTGCACACATCTTCCTCCTCTTCCACCCTAAACACTATGAGCTTCGGTGAAAGCAGCGCTGTGGCGCAAGTGGAGAAACTTGACTCCAGCTGTAAAGAGGTTTGTGTTTTATGGGATATGTATCTGGTCTCCTCTCTTTGAAGGTCCGTTCTTGCTCTCCCAGATCTGGTGTTTATGGGGTCCCCGAAGAGACCCCCTGTTCGGCACACTGTACCGTCCTGTTGTGGGTTCGCTCTGTCAGGCACTGGCCCTCGCCCTGCAGCAGGAAGCGCAAGATGCAACAGATGACTTTTTACAACTCTAAATGGTTTTCTCAGATGGCCCGAGATGGAACGAATGGTACTGATTTAAGGCCTCAATTGGTTTCACTACAAAAAAATAAGAAGGGAGCTATTAACAAGTCACAGGGATTTCTGCTGAGCAGATGAGAGGTACATGTTAAAAAGTTTGTAGTCGGCTTGCTTTGGCTTTTAGATGACACTCCCTGGAAATGAGACTTGGTGGCCTGCTGAGTTTCAGGGGGCGGGAGCCCCCACATGAACCAGTGTTTGAAGCTGGGGAGCAAGCCTGTCCAAGAGAAGGTCACACTGCTTCCATTCACTTTGAAGAAGTGCTCTTGTGCACTTAAAGTACTCAATACAAACGACAGCTAGTTTTCAAAGTCCACATAGAGAAGACTGTGGCACTCATTTTGCAGAGAAGCAAACGAGATACCGAGAAGTCTTTACTCTCGCATGATCTAACAGCTTGTCGGCTGTTAAACAAGATCGGAAGTGCCAGCCAAGCACTAAATAAGCATAAGGAGGCAGGCTGCCCTCCCTGTGCATCCCAACACTGCCTGAGGCCTCTCATCACAAAAGAGCTAGGGCAGAGTGGAAAGCCAGGCGACACTGATACAAAGGGGGCAGAGCTGCCTCTCAGAGAAAAGCACACCTCCCTTTCTTGTATAACATTCTCGCCTCACCCCTCTGCCACAGCCAGGTCCTGAATGCTCTCAGGGTCTTGACTGAAGCTTTATTTAATAGATGAGTGTGGGCTGTAGCGTTTGGATTGCCCAGCTGTCTTACTGATTACGGGACCTTGCAAGTTAGCCTCTCTCTATACAAATGGAATTTCGGGTATCTACCTTTGTAGGGATGTTCTGAGAAACAGATGAAATAACATATAATACAAAGTGCACAAAGGCATTAAATATTTATTTCCTTTTCTTTTCCCTTCTGTCAGTGAAGAAGGAGTGAAAGAAGGAGAAAGGAATCACAGGGCATTTGGGTTCTGATGGGGAGACTCTCAGGTGTTGGCTTCTGTCTATGGAGCTGAGCATGTCTGGCCTCCCCACACTCTGGTGAGCATATGTCACAGCTAGATGCCCGGATGTAACAGGCTGGAGGAGCCTCCGTGGTTGCGAATGACAGAGCACTGGACCCGTGACCACTATGGGCCCTCTAAGCCTGTACTCCCAAAGGCTAAACCAGCTCTGTTTCCTCTCTGAACTATCTTTCCCTCTCGCCTCACCCCTGCCTAGAATGGAAATTCCATGCTCTGTGTCTCTATTCTCAGATCAAGCAAGCGGAATTGAACACAAATAGGTAGGTTGGTGTCTTTCCCACTGTCCCCAGAGGCCTTAATCCATGTCTGAGAGGTGATTAAAATGTAATGCCCTAAGTA